ATGTGCTCTTCCAAAACTGGGTGTGTAATTTTGGCTGTCCTAGAGAGATCCATTCGGACCAAGGAAGAAATTTTGAATCCTCAGTTTTTCAAGAAATCTGTAAGCTGTTGGGAATTCACAAAACAAGAACAACACCTGATGGCATGGTAGAGCGCTTTAACAGAACCATAGATAACTATCTGAGAATTGTGATCAACAATAAGCAGGATAATTGGGATACGCAACTTGCTCCATACTTATTAGCCTATCCACTGGCAAATCTCAGCAGAAGAAAGAAAGGAGAAGAAAGAGAAGAGCAGAAGAAATTATATACAAATATACCAATAGATTGCTCAATAAACTGTATAAAAAAAATTAACAGACCGAAATAGAAGAACATACAACATTACCCGAAAAGGAATTTATTAGGGCCGTAGAGCTGTGCCTTAAATCCACATATTTCCTGTTTGAAAGTAATTTGCACTCGCAGATATATGGAGCAGCAACAGAATAACCCATATCCGCAACAATTGCAAATTTAGTAATGGAAAATGGAACAAAACATAATAACTGATTTAAATTTTCAATTGCGAAATTTTTTAAACGATATGTATATAATTGACACGTGATAAATTTAATACTTTTCATAACACCCTAAAATTTACAATCGAAGAAAATAAGAACAAATCTATAAAGTTTTAGATTTAAAAATTAACTATAGCAACCGGGGGAAAATAACAAATTGGTACGCAAAGGAAGTATGGTCTGTCGGATATGTGAATTATCACACAGATGTACCAATAAAATGTAAAAAGTGTAAAAACGGCACTTACAGATAGAGCTATTAAGTTTGCACATTCTGATTATAGAAGGAATTTAATGAGCAACTATCCCAACATCTTTTTCGAACCGATCATGAAACAAATAATAAACAAAATATACAACTCAAGTAAGTGCAACAACAAGAATAAAAGAGAGGAAAGTGAAGTAAGTATATATTATTCCCATATATTCCTGATATGAACACAAAAATATTAAATATTCTCAAAACACATAATATCAATATAGCTAAAAAAAACTAGAAACCACTTAGGCAAACTAATGTTTAACAAAATTCAAACCAAAGAATGATAAACTGGAACCACCTAATGTAGTATATAAAATAGACTGTTTAGAATGTGATAAGACATACATGGGTCAAACAGAACAATATTAAAAGAAAATAATATACGAACATAAATACAGCATAAGGAAAAATAACGAAAATGGCGTTAGTACAACATGCACAGCAATTGTTACATAATTTCGATTTCGATAACACAAAAATATTGATTAAAGAAAATAACTATTATAAGAGAAAAGTCCATGAAATGACACATCAAAAACAACACAAAGTCCTGAATTTTAGATTCGATACAAACAATCTAAACTCAATATGTCAATCATTAATTGAATGAAAAATTACATAATACATAAAATATTAACATCCAGTCTATTATAGGTTTCAAAACAAAAATAGTATCGGCTGAACGCAAAAGAAAAATAGAGAAAGAAAACACTTAAATATGAACAGTTTTTTCGTTTTGTTTTGTTATGAAATGGACAAGCATTAATACGAGTAGGTATACCAACGAATCAGTTCCAAAACGTGCGTACCAACGACCGCCTGCCTCCACGAGTAAGTACGATAATAATTAAAAACTCTAAAATGAGAAATTCTATGCTTTTCACAAATTTTTTGGTCGGGATCTCTTTACCTTCAATCTTAATAATTTTAGAATGTTTCAACGTATTTCTAAAGTGTTTAGTAATGAGAGGCTGTGCTGATAGATAATTGTAACCGTTTTTTTAAGGGCCCACAAGCTTAAAGTGTTCCCATAAATTATGTATATTTATAAACAAAGCAATTTAAAAACTGATGCTCCCAACAAACTGATGATGGTGTAGAAACACGGGAAGGTTTTTATGTAATAATTAAATTATGATACTCTAAAAAACTGACTGAAATCCAGGAACATTGTGTATGTCGAAACCTGAACATAGAGGAAATTTATTGCTACACACAAATATATTCATTTATTTAAGTTTACCATCTTTGCTGAATACAATAAAATAAAAATTGTTTGTGCTTGGTTCAGTGACCGCCAGGCATAAATTATTCGATTTTTACAAATTCTGATAGCAAATCCCAGCATAAATATTTCAGCATTTAGTTGAAAGTTTTACTTCTTTGTTAGAAGCTAGGGTAAGTTATTAGTAGGCGATTATTTATTCCCAATCAAAGGGGATGTATTATAGTGTGTAAAATCGGGGTTGAAGTTTATTTCAACCTAGCGCTTCAGACCGTTATGTCATTATCAGGGCCGTCGTCAAGTCATAAGTAAACTCCAAGGGTGCTGCACAACACGTGCCAAACAACGTCAGAGTGGTCGTAAATATAAAATACACACGACCAACAAGAAATGTTCACAATACAGTTATGAAATTTGCTCACAATTAAAAACAATATACTCGTAGTTAAAATTGAAGTTAAAATTATTTAAATCCGTTAAAATAATTAAAATCGGAGACACTAAAATTAAAATTAAAAACAATTAAGCGACAGGAAACACTTATTTATATATATACAGGGTGTCCCACCGGGAAACGCCGTGGTCGATATTTGACAAACTCTAATTTGGAAAAATTTTTAAATTTGACACTGTGCCGAAAGAAGTCATTGGGGGTTAGTCAAGCGACCTAAAATATTTTAAAGATGGCCACACTTCCGGTTATACCGGCAGTTGATATCAACTGGCTTATTTTAAATGGAACACCCTGTATATTATAAAATTTTCGAATTCTACTCCAAATTCTAATTATATTTCATGTATAATAATATCCTATCCCTAAGCCTAACCGTTTTTAAAATATTTGAAATTTTATGTAAAAAACTACAGGTCCAGCGACTCGAATAATTATGAATTTTTCCTAAAAGGGAATATGTTCTACTAATTTGTGTCGCATTTATTGTTTAAAAGGATTTACTTTAATGGAATTTCGACATCATTTTGATAACTACTAATTATTATAATATTTTTCCTTTCCTGGGTTTCAGTCAAAATGTGACATACAAATTTTCATATCGTTTATTTCATATAACGTTTCGGCGAGACAAGAGTGTCATCATCAGATTTAAAATTTACACAAGCTACAAACACCAATTTACAATTAAAACATGTTGTATAAAAACTATATTTTATAAAGCGTTAAAACATTCATCAGTACTTAAAGGAAAACATCCTTCCTTTTGGGAGAGCTAAACAATTGAAAAATTTACCTCATAATTGGTAGACATTACGTTCTCTTAGGTCTTTGCCTTTTTAAAACGTTAAATTTGTTTGAATTATTTTCTACATTTGCCAGAATGGTATGTATGTATTGAGATAAGCGGAAATAGTTTGAATATTTTTACTAGTGTACTGACTGTTCTATATTTATTGCTTTATTAGGGTTTGGTAAATGTCGCTAAGGTTGTCGGTATCTGATCTGAAATTTACTGCTTTTGCATGTTTTTATTTAAATCATTTCTTGGATTCTTCTTTTATGATAATTTGTTTCTCTAACCAATATATCAGCGTTGTCAAAATCGAAATCATATATGCCAAATAATGAAAGTTTATTTTACAAGTATCTCTGCAAATTTGTTTGCCTTCGTGTTGCATGACAATTTACATGGCCAAGAAGACAAACAGGAAGGTTTTTAGAGCTGTGCTTTAAAGCTAATATTATGTTTCATTCACCTATGAAATGTCGATATGTACCTACAGTTTTTCTCAAAACATTGCGTTTTATAGCTATACGAATACAAAACGGCATACCAATCTATACTGAATCTCTCAATTTCGATTACAGTTTTCTTCGGATGTACAGCTGGCAATACACAAAAGTAGGCGACTCCTAAAGGCGATTTTTCCGATATTGGTAAATCAGGCTTTGTGAAATACGTCAAATATACAGGTTGATTCAAAATTGGCGCCATTCCTTTTAAGGAGTAATAACACTAATAGAGTAGGAGAAAAATTATTAAAAAAATTTTCCCGATAATTTCTAGAAGATATTAACAGTTGAAAATCAAACTTTAACTTTGTTATTAAGCATTATTTTCAAATTGTTCCATGTTTAATTGGTAGCATATTGGAATAATTAAGCGTCCAAGGTGAAAAATTACCATCTTTGCTTCAAATTATGAAAAATTTTCAATATTAAAAAAGTTATCTTCTCAAATTTTTTGATGAAAAGTCAAAGCGGCAATGATGTTTTCTTGTCATTAACAGATAGTTACAGGTGGAAAGCCTTTGTGAATAATAACAATACTTTGTTAAACTCTGACCTACGTTGAAGCTCCTTTCTCGAATTTGCGGATATGCGTTTAGTTCTCAACTTTAGCCAACGTCGCGCCACAGTCGCTTCTCCAAATCTCTCAGCTACTGTTTTTGTTGATCATCCTTCCTCGATTAATGTAATTATGTCAGTTTTAACAAGTAATATTGAATGTGGCATTTTGATAATAGGTTTTTGTCGAACAAAACTATTTACCAGTTTTATGCCATTTACGCAAAGGTAGACCGAGGTAGAAAGTCAGATTCACAAAACAACTATTTAATAGTCTACTTTACTATACCAAAAACCCGAAATTCGGAAATAATGCTACTTTTACTGACGGAAATCATGGAGAAAGTCTTTAAAAACCGAGTATTATTACCGACATTTGGGGATGTTGCTTTTAAGAATTAGTTTAAATTAAATGTCTGAAGCCCATGTTGGTCGGTCGATTTTAGTTCCATTTCGTCCCAACGTAACTCTTGAAGACGTATTCTAGTGCCGAAGTAAATAGTTTAGGAAAGCAATCTCCTAAGCTTAAAAAAAAACTTGCAAAGCAAGGGTCTTCCTGTATGGTGCATCGGCTGATGTTCGTATTAACGGTGATTTCATGAATTTTAAAGTTTTAGTTTTGCGTTGTCATAAATGGTCTTAATTCGGAATAAGTATGTGTAGTATCTTCAACTCTGGTCAAGTGTAATCAGGATTGTCCAAACTTCGACAGAATCGAACGCTCTCTCGCAGTCAATAAATACTAGAATAAGTGGTTTATTTTATTATATCATCATCATTTAAGCCCACTATAGCGTCCACTGTTGAACATAGGTCTCCCGCAAATTGTGCCATTCAATTGCTTGATATATAGTGCGACTTCAAACAAAACTTCAACATTTAATAATTCTGCTGTGGCAACTTTCACTTTTGAGGGCAGCATTAATTTGGTTTTATTATGGTGAAGATCTGTTCCATTGAGACATTGCCTTTCAAGAGTGAACTAACGAATGTTAGATGTTTGGTAAATGTCAAGCACATTAGAGATTTGCCTGGATGTAAGGTTGTACAATTACATATAAGTTTAAACAAGTTAATGCAGATATGCAGTAGGGTAATTAAACGCCAGAAACGTTGTGTTTTAACTTTAATAACTATAAAATAATGTTGAAACTAACATCAACGAAAACCAGCGTGTTCCCTTTTACTTTTTACTTTACACCAGTGACTTGACGTTGACCACTCAAAAGCAGGGTATGACCCGTAATTAAAAAACTAAACTGGATTTCCATTGCTACTCTACTACAACACAAGTTCTGCACTGTTTTATTGGTAGTATTTGGCTTTGATTATAGTTTGTCAATTAAATTTGGCAATTAAAATAGTTTAAAAGAATGTACTTAAAAACGTAATATCTTCGAGGAATAACCGTTCTTGGTACTTAAGTTAGTCTCAGTAAATCCTCCAGGGGAATTACGCACATTTTGATTCATCCTGTGTATTGATTTTGAACAGTTGACCAGACACATTGAGTAGTATTCTTTAAATTATTTTACTATAGTACGTTTTATGAAATAAAAAAGTTTTGAACAAAGTTTTGAGTATTTTAAAGATTTTTCAACGCAACTGAAAATATATTTGATACTTCATCACTCATTCATACTACCTAATTTATAATTCAAGTTTGTGGGTCCTCTCTCCTGTTAAGTTTACATAAGAGAGAAACTCATATTTGAAGCGCAAAACGCGTTGACTGTTCTAACAACGGTTTAATTGTAAAATGTATAGCCGTCGAGAATTGTCCATAAGTAGTTTTCAGAACTTTCATTACGGGATCAACTTGACAGATCTTAGTCCCAATAAACAATATATTTGTCTTTATGTTTAGTTAAATATTATCTAACTTTTTAATCATGAAACGTTATTATTTTGATTTCAGTCTGCTAATATTAATTAATTAGACATTTCGAGTTCGAGTAATTAGATTGGTATAAGGAAAAATCTCTGCAGTCCTATTGTTGATACCGATCATACATATTAATACATAAATATCAAAAAGACCAAATTGTAAGGTGTTCTCGACAAAATGGTACTACCTACAACTTCGAAGAATAACAGGACTCAACAACCGCAGAAGTTAAATGTAAGTTGAAAGTAGCATTGTGCACAATATACTCAGTATATTATATTATAATCATAATATTTTCGTGTTTTTCGCTGCTGGACAATTGAATTTGCTTTTATTTATATAAAATTTTCCTATCTAATTGTATTACAGATAGAATAATTTTGATTCAGACGGACATCCTATGTATTTTCATATTATTTTCATAAATGTTTGGATCTTAAACACTCACTAATTAAGTTTCTTGTCTAAAAGTTATCATTATATTTCGTAAGGCCGTTTTACAGTCGACAATCTTAGTGCTCGCAATTTTCAGGTATAAGATATTATACATGAAATGTATTTAGAATTTGGAGTAGTCAAAAATGTACTAATATATAGGGTGTTTCATTTAAAATAAGCAAGTTGATACCTACTTCCAGTATAACGGGAAGTGTGTCCATCTTGAAAATATTGTCGGCGGCTTGCCCCCAGTGACTTAGTCCCACTGTCCAATTTTCATTTTCTTTTTTCTCCTAATTACAGTTTGCCAGATATCTATCGCGGCGGTTCCCGGTGAGACAGCCTATTTTCTATTTTTATCGAAATAAATGCGAACTTACGTTAATCACAAAAATTCCCCTGGCAATATGATTGTAACCCGAAACGAAAACAAAACAGGCAAACAAACTTTGGATTTTTTACGTATAGTGAATAGTTGGTACGCTTGATCGATTTGTCTAAATGTGATATTTAACGTTGCACACTGTAAAGCGCAGCACTAAAATTACAGTTGCAAGAAAATAGCCGAAAGGAAGTTGCGGGCGATAAAATAGCCGACTGTAAAACGCCATTTAAAAGTGACAGCTTATTACAATCAGTTGCTTTGAAATCAAATATACATTAAACCGATTTTTCTGCACAAGGAAAGATTGCGCTTACAAAATTGTAATTTTCGCTTAAATTTAAGGAAAATTTATATTTTAATATACCTATATGTACAGGGTGAGATTTTTTCGATGACTAGTACAGGGATCTTGGAAGCGACACCAGATATAACAAACTTTAAATGGACAAATAATGGTAGTTTTAAATGCTCCTCGAAACCAATTTTATTTTTATAAAATTTGATAGCTATTAAGAGATGTCTGAAGAAACTGATTGATGTCAGATTTTTATATGATTCCTTTGCCGTCATTATTAATGACAAGAACATGACATGAGACATTTTTACAAACTAACTGTAATTTTTGACATATGACACAAACTTGAGGTTTTTATAGGTTACGTTATAACCGCGAATGGCGCAAAAGCATTTTGTTGTTTTGAACTTAAGACGTGCAATGCGCATGCGGAAGTCAGGCAGCCAAAGTACTCTTGGTATGGCTAGCCGCTTGTCATAAATACGACAGGGGATCCAGTAGTTAAACCAATTTTAGTCGGAAAGCACAGGAGATGACTTCGCCCACTGCCTCATCGCCTTTAATAATGTCCACCGCAGTTGTGGACGAAACGTGAAAAAGAAATTCCCATGGACCACGGTTAAATGTGATTTGACCGGCCGTAAAAGCATTCATAGTTCATTTAAATTGCCATATTTCATTTAATATACTGTGTTTTTTACGACTCGCCACAAAAAAATCAAAGACTGATAGATCCGGTTATCGATATGGCCATACAACAGGATCGTTTCTTCCAAGCGCCGAAATATTTCTCGTCCAGATAATTCCGCACTTACCGTGTTTCTCAATCTAGGTAGTTCAATATAATATCCAGATCATTTCGAAGGAATTGAATAAACCGACTTCCATTTAAGGTGGCTTCAAGAATAAATGGGCCAATAATTTTTGAACTCACCATTTCGCACCAAACATAAAATCCAAATTTAATTTGTGGTCTCCTTTGTTCAAAGTCGTGGAAATTTGCTTGATTCCAAATATGTTGTGTTGATTTAAAAAAAAATTATAAAGGAATTGGATGTTTTGTTGGTATTTGTTTCGGAACCATGTACGAAAATTCACGCGCAGCTTAGCATCCCCTGGATACAAAGTTAGTATATTGATCATTTATTTATACGGATGGAATTTGTGTTTTTTAACTTTCACCACGGTGCTTTGAAAAGTTCCGGATTCCGCTGCAATCTCTCTGGTGGAACTACGTGGATTCTCGGTTACAATGGGCAATACATTAAACTCCACAACTTCATTGATTACTTTATCTTCATTTCGTGGCTGCGTAAAACAACTTCATAAGTACACAAATTGTCGGAAGATCTTTTGAATGTTTTCAAAGACGGCTAACGACGGTCAAAATACCTCTCAAAATAGTAATTAGTGGCTCGACCAGCATTTTTATGACATAAATGTCGGTTTCAATCATGTCGCGCTTATTAGAATAATTGTGTGTTTTGCCCTCCCCCAGATTAAACAAGAAAGAAATTCGAACTCGTGTCTCCCTCAGAGGCACGTGCAGGTCCCCCTTTTGGGCTCCGGAAAGCCCCTCAGTGCAGTGCCGTTCAGGATAGTGTTCCTGAGTGTATTTTGTGATCGACATTGCCAGTTCTTGACATACCAGAAGCTCCTTCCTCCAGCGCAACTTCCAAGTATAAAATGAGCTCCTGGAAAGTACGTAAACTCTCTAACTCTTCCAAATTTAAAACTTAACACCAACCGCCGCAAACCACTACTTTTCTCGCTCCGTACCCCTACTTTTTTTCTTTTCTTCGTTCGGTCTCAGTCTCACAAACTACCAAAACCCACACCCCTAACCCACCAAGGCTCTTGCAGGCTATGTATGTATGGGCGGCAAGCCCAACCCTTACGCTCATCATGAGTATCTATTTTCTCCGGGCGACCTTCACTGTTCCTTAGTCGAATTGCTCCATTAAACTCGTTCTTGCTGTATCCATTCCAACCAACGTCAGGAAGAAAAAAGCCCGAAAAACCTTTCTACTTCGCCCACTGCCTTTGATAATGTCCACCGCAGTTGTGGACAAAACGCCAGGAAGAAATTCCCATAGACCACGGCTTTAAAGCCCGAAAAACATTTCTAAATGTCATTTGATCGACCGTGAAAGCTCTACGGGAAGGATCCATCGAGAGTGGTTCGACAACTGGAAAGCCTCCGTTAGAAGAAAGCGCATCTCCTGAGTTCACTGGCCTTTTTGCTGCGATGCCGTGAAACTAAGATCACTCCGACCTTCTTGAAGATGAAAAGATATTTGAGAACCAACCAGACCAAGAGAATCTACGACCGGACTGAACGGGCTCTTTTACGCGAACGGATACATGAGACCCGCAGAGATCTTGCACGTATTGACAATAAACTTTTACATGTCAACATAGAACTAGCCTACAAAATGCACTGGATCTATTGGGAAAAGGTGGATCGATGAACAACTGAACGGATTATGGTGGCTGAACCAGCAGCAACCCATGCTAAAAGAACAAGTTTGATGCACTTACGGAAAGGTTTCACCGATCCAGCAAAACAGGACTATCACCCGAGGAGAATAACCGGAAGATTGTAGTCAACTTGACCAGCAAAGAACTTACTGCCGACGAACAACGCGACTTTCCAATAGTGATCACAGTGGGTCTCAGTGGTACATCCGACTTATGGATCTTGGGCAGTCCGTAGAGCCTTGGTGGGAGTGCTTCTGAGTTTGTCCAACTCCTCGGACGACACTGTCATGTCCTTTATAAAACTCACAGTTTTATAAAGGACTCATCCCATTTTGTTTAGAGGTTGCACTCGTTATCGGAGAAATCCTTGTGAGTTTTGATGTTGTTTCGTTATTCACAATAGTACCAATTAAGGAGGCAATGGAACTTATTGAGAGAAAATTTCCACGAGGCATCGCCAAACTCTTCGAACACTGCTAACCACAACTTACTTTCAGTGGAAAAACGAATTCTATGAACAGGCGGATGGAGTAGCAATGAGCAAGCCCCTTTTACTATTTTTAAATTTAGGGTGCAATTCATAATTCTGGAACTAGGGAATAAATGACATACAAATTTGCATGCATACACAGTTAAATTTCACAATAAAATAATAGCATTCCTCTCAAAATTCTAATGTTGCCTTTACCTCTCAAAGAGAGCCCTTGAGTAGAATAGTAAAACATATTGTACCGTGGATGGCCGAGTATCAAACTCTTTCTTCTGCTTCCTTTTATTCAACTCGGTATCACCTTAACTACGGAACAGGAACAAACTAACTTCAAAATTACCGTCAACTTCACAAACAATAATGATAACAGGCGGAAAACTCGCTTTTCCGACTCGCGGGGTTAAATCTCTTCTGCACCCGGTCGTTGTTGTCACTTCACTCCCCCTGTCTGGTTCTCGTCGTCGCTTATATAGTTTCCTCCAGGTAACCCAGATAGTTCTCGAAATCTCCAGAACAGGTGCAAAACTTCCCGCTTGTCAGTGTCATATTTGACAGTAAATAGGGCTCCCATTTACCGAAATACCATGAATTTCGATCTCCCCATATCAAACGTGAGTACCCCTGGCCATTTCCGTTATAATATGTTAAAATGCGTCCCTCACCTATTTCTTACTTTTCCAAAATTTATAAATATATTTGAAACCGCTTCTGAGATATAACCTTGACACACTTAAAAAACTCACCCTGTATATCTTTAGCATGATATCATTTTTTTTTCACCAAAAATATTTCCTTATCACGTTATTATTTAAGTGGTGTTATGACGTTATAATAATTGTAATAAATTTTAGGAAAAGAAGCCCTCTCGTGAGATCAAGTGTCCAGTTTGCATGACTGTATTTGGAAAACAATCTGATATATATTTAACAAAGTGCGGTCATTTGTTTTGCAAAAGATGTATGAACTCGTGGATTACAACAAACCCGCATAAACCAAATTGTCCGGTATGCAAAGCAAATATTGCTAACGGAAGCCTTAGAACAATATTTTATTGAGTTTATAGCAATTTTATATATTTTATACAATGCCATTTAATTACCCAAATTAAAATGTAAACACTATTTTATATTTACACGTTGTTAATTAATAAACCAACTTTTGAACAATACTGTTGTAATTTAGAATAACACTATTCCTTGAAGTTTTCATCTTACTTTTTTACACCCGCTTGCAGTATTGAAAATAAAATTAGTTCCTGTTTTGAAATTTCTACGATGTCGCGCACTTAATTGATTCTTTCGATAGTATTGAATCATTTATAAGCTTGGTATCTATTATATACAGGGCGATTCAGAATTTGCGTCTTTTCTAGGAGTAATAGGTTCCTAAGATATTCACAGTTGGAAATCGAATTTCGACTTTATTATTAAGCATTATTTTGAAATTGTTGCATGTTTAATTGGTAGCATATTAGATAAAATACTCAAGCATTCGAAAAAAATTACCATATTTCAAAAAGTACTATTCGACATATCTTTGCTGAAAAATCAAAGCGGCAATGATATTTTTTGTCATCAACAGATAGTTACAGCTGGATAGCCCTTGCCAATAATAACAATAGTTAGTCAAACTGTGACTTACTTGAAGCTCCTTTCACGAATATGCGGATATGCGATTAGTTCTAGGGAAACGCCGCAGTGACATAGCAGAAGCTGAAAGAAGGGCGAGGTGAGTGGTTCCAGAAAGATAGTGGACGACAATAGATGTTTGGGTTCCAGACACAGAGGAACAAGTATTGGACATAATTGCAGCAGAGCGTTCCGGGGGTACTCAGAGCATTACACAACTGACACTTTCACAGACACCAAATAAAAACCGAGGAAGGGCTACATTTCTACCACGTATGTAAGTTACCAAAAGCACAAAGACACATTAAACCAATAGCTTACTGAACACCGGTACCAATTGAGCAGGAGCTAATTAACCGAATACGAGAAGCTGCTTGAGGAGAGTGTATAATAAAATGAGTACACAGGCAATAACTTGCTTGGAGTTCAAAACTCAAAGTATGTTTATTTGTAATTTGTAAAAAAATTAATTCGAGGTAATTTTAACTTAACTTTAACATTTATTAATTCCGTTGGGCTAGATTGAATTGCTATTTCTAAATAAGGTAACGATATATCAATATATCGAATATGATCACATAAGTGCGTTAATGATACCGGGTATCAATTTGAAGCCCCCCTTAATTTCTTCCTTGCAGTGGAAAATATGAAAAGTCTGAAAGTCCCGTCAATTTTATTTGTAAGGATGACATTTTAAACGAATTTTTAGAGTCTCATTGTGTCTACCCTTTAGGTCGGGTAAATGTCACCCTCAGAATTTTAAAAAGGGTGGGGGGGGGGTCAAGTAGTACATCGACTTAGAGACCGCTCCATTCTCTTTACACCACTTACTACTTTGTTGCTTATTGTTCAGAGGTTTTCGAATCATCGCGTTTCAAAATTACACAAACAATTGAACTTGCTTGTATTGAGATTTTGGTTTTAAGATTAAAGTTTAAACGAAAATCATGTCATTGGGTCTCCTAATAAGGAAATTTCTCCAATAAAACCCACGGGATATCCTTACGTTATTTATAATTCTTATCCCACTATCTTTTAAGTTCTTCAAAATGTTGTATATTTTCCTGTAAACAATAATAAAGTCTATTTTCGAACCCTCCCTAACATTGATAAGATATTCCCGGATAGATCGATTGGCAGAAGGGGACCAATTAAATGGCCTCCAAGATCATCAGATTAAACACCTTTAGGCTTCTTTCTTTGGGGACATCTTAAGTCCATTGTTTATTAAATACAAGCTACGGATATTGATGATCTTAAAAGGCAAATTACAGCAGAATGTTTTTTTCAAAATCTCTCGTTTGGTTTGTAGTATATATTATGCTTCTGTTCTGGCTGTTTTATTGCATTTGTTATCAATGCGTTTAGATCATCTATGAATGCTATGTTAATACTTCCTTCCGTTAGTCGCCATTTGGTTTGGGTAAGAGTTATGCAAGCAGTTTTCTATTTACCTTTGGTAGGAGTCGATGTTGTCGGGTGGTGTCCATTTCTTGTTCGGTTTTTGGATCATTTCCAAACTTTCACTGCTGATGTTTACAGAAACAGAAACGTAAAATGTATACGTAATCGTAAAATGTTGAAAACTTAATCAGATTTACATAATTTAAAAAAATATTTGCATTACATATTCATTTAAATTGATTTATTTATTTATTTAAAATCCATCCATGTGCGAAGTTTTTAAAACCGCTCAAACAGTTATTGAAAATCGAAAAATGGTTAATATAATGTAACGGAACTGACAAGGGGTACTCACATTTGGAATGGGGACCGAAAATGATGGTATTTCAGTAAATGGGGTGCCCATTTGCGCCCCATTTACTGTCAAATATGACACTGACAAGCGGGAAATTTTGCACCTGGGCTGGAGATTTTGAGAACCGTCTGGGTTACCTGGAGGAAACTATATAAGACGGAGTCAATCGGACGCCTAAGCTAGGCTCTACCATGGGCTTACCTAAGCCTTACTGAGAGTCCAATGGGTATGTCCGAGACGGAACGCATGGTGCTTCAACGAGCGCCATGGTTGTTTACTTTTCGAGGACCATGGGCTAACTTTAAGTTAGTTATAGGAAGCAAGAGAGGCTGTTAGGTTTAGGTATAGATTAGGTTTTGTTAGGTTAACTTAAATTAAGTCATATGATGATATATCTTAAGTTACATAGAGTGTTAGACACTCTAACGATGTTAGATTAATAAGTTGCAGTAGGAAGTTTGTAAACTTAGCTGAAAATAAATATGTTCTAGACGGAGTCCGTGAAGTGAGAGCAACGACTGAGTGCAGAAGAGGTTAAACCCCGCGAGTCGGAAGAGCGAGTTTTCCGTCTGTTATTGTTATTGTTTGTGAAGTTGACGGTAATTTTGAAGGTAGTTTGTTCCTGTTCCGTATTTAAAGTTATACCGAGGTGAATAAAAGTTGGAAGCTGAAGAAAGAGTTTGATACCCGGCCATCCACGGTACAATAGCAATTGTATACAGTGTGTCGCACTTAAGATGGAGACACCCTTGTATTTCTGTTATTTTTACAATGAAGGTTTTTAGTTTCGGTACAGAGGTGAGGTAGAATGTTAAGAGCTTAATTGTTTAGGGTACCCATTTATACCTTCAGATAAAAACCCAGCTTACTACGACTTTGTGGATAGGGGCAATTCGCTATATTTTGCTATGTCTTAGAGATATCGCAAAAAGTTACTAGAATAAGTTGATCAAAATGTTATTGTAACGGTATGTACCGAGTTTCAAGTCAAAAATCAAATATTGGCATTTTTTTAAATTTTTAGGCCGTCCGAATTTTTTCAAAAAGTTAATGTGTGGTGCGGAATTTTAGATGACAGAATAATTTTTTCGTTTTTATTCTACACTACCTCACATGCTAAGCGATTGACTAATTTTTTTAATAACGAATTATGGGATGTTATCGAGGATCTGCCTATCAACGTGCGACACGAAATGCTTTTGCAAGTAGACGGTGCATCAAAAAAAGCTCTTTTGAACAGTATTCAAACATCCATTGAAGTGCGTCTAGCCGAACCATCCCAGTTTTATCGAAGCAACATAGTGGTTCCACAATCAGAGTGAGTCAATCCTTCTTTATTATTTCCTTACTATTTCAAATCAGCTTTCCTTGCGGCAATTGCAAACTCTTCGTGTCACGTGTTTTTATTCAAATTCAAATCCAGCACGTGGTCATAAGAATAATCTTATCATCTTATATCTGAAACATCTATTCTGTATTTTATTATTTGATCGATAAATTGCTTTATTCGGAATCTGTGCCGTTAGCGACTAAAAAGCGTTTTCAAAGTCTATTTCGTTTTAACGTAACTCCACGTGGCCATCGATAGTCTCAGTCGCAAACGAGGCGTTGTTAAGGGAAAATTAACCCGATTTATTTCATTTCTGACAAAAATCGAAGAAGCCCATCAAAATCCCGAGTTAATAGTTAG